TATATATATATATATATATAATATATATATATATATATATATATATATATATATATATATATATATATATATATATCGGGAACTCTTCCGGTAAGGTATACCTTACCGGAGCCGCCGTGCGGCCTCAACGATTTGAGGGCCTTCCCGGTGGAATTTTCCGATTAAATTTTTGGAGCATGTTCTTCATCAAGTCTAGTACATCCATACCAAATTTCAGCAAAACCTTCAATCGGGAAGGCAGTCAAATGATTTTTGGAAGATAACTGCACCCTTTATATACATATAAAACACAGCTATCTTCCAAAAATCGTTTGACTGCCTTCCCGATTGAATTGTTTGCTGAAATTTGGTATGGATGTACTAGACTTGATGAAGAACATGCTCAAAACATTTCATCGAAAGATTCCACCGGGAAGGCCCTCAAAACGTGGAGGCCGCACGGCGGCTCTGGTAAGGTATACCTTACCGGAAGTATTTCCTATATATATATATATATATATATATATATATATATATATATATATATACACATACATACATATATATAAATTTAGGTTCAAATGAGAACCATGCTTAACGTGAGAACGTGAGAACTCCACTTTTAAGCAGATGTGATGCATTATATCATGTATATGTTGCACATTTTCATGTTGACGAAATATTTAGAAATCTGCCACCACATTTATTTGATATTAGCATGTTTTGATCAAAATTTAAAAAATGCAGTAGATGAGCCTAATAGTGCACCGAGATGTAGTAAAAGTGCATGGTTCTCACGTTAAACATGGTTCTCATTGGAACCGCTCCATATATATATATATATAGGAATGAGTTCAAATGAGAAGACATCTTAACGTGTAAAATGAGAATTAATCTCAGCCGTCCAAAGTGTCGATCTAATGCACAATAACCCCTATCTGATGCACTTTCGAATAGACCTTATTTGATGCACTTTTTGAAAAATGCATGAAATAGACATATATATATATATATATATATATATATATATATATATATATATATATATATATATATATATATATATATATATATATATATATATAGGGCTGTTCGAGTCAGGCGGCCTGACCGGACAGGCCCGTGCGGCCTTCCACGTTTGGGGGTCTTCCCGGTGAAATGTTTGATGAATTTTTTTTGTGCATGTTCCTCATCAAGTCTAGTTTATCCATACCAAATTTCAGTTCAAAATTCGATTGGAAAGACAGTCAAATGAAACAAATCGGTTGTTTCTCAAGTTGAAGAATTCCAACTTATTCTTCATGAAATTTACGCTGAGGGTATGTCCCTTAGCGAGTCTTTCCAAGTGGCGGTGGTAATTGAAAAGTTACCTCCCAAATGGAAAGACTTCAAGAATTATTTGAAACATAAGCGTAAGGAAATGTCCCTAGAGGAGCTCATTGTTCGTTAAGGATAGAGGAGGATAACCGCAAAGCCGAGCATAAGGCTGGACGATCTAATTTCATGGAAGCTAAGGCAAACATGTTGGAAGCGGAATCCAAGAAAGGGAAGAAGAGAAAGCACAGTGACGAAGGAAGAAGTGGAGGGATGCCTTCGTCAAAGAAGTTCAAAGGAAAGTGCTACAATTGTGGCAAGCCCGATCACCGTGCTAAGGACTGTCGTGCTCATAAGAAAAAGAAGACCGGACAAGTCAATATTGTGGACGACCTCTCCGATGACATGGGTGAAATGAACCTATGTGCCATGATATCTCAATGCAATTTAGTGGGTAACACTAAAGAATGGTGCATTGACACTGGAGCTACCCGACATATTTGTGCTAACAAGTGGATTTTCACTGATTATCAACCTGCTGATAACGAGGAACAACTCTTTATGGGTAACTCTTCTACATCTAAAGTGGAAGGTCGTGGCAAAGTTGTCCTCAAAATGACGAGTGGGAAAACACTAACTTTGAACGATGTGCTACATGTCCCTAACATACGCAAGAATATGGTTTCAGACTCCCTCCTTAGCAAAAATGGCTTTAAGCTTGTCTTTGTGGCTGATAAATTCGTACTTACAAAGAATGATGTGTTTGTAGGGAAGGGCTATCTCAATGATGGTCTCTTCAAAATGAATGTACTTACCGTTGTACCCAAAGTTGTGAATAATAATAAAGTGGATTCTTCTTACTTGGTTGAGTCTTCTTCTATTTGGCATGCTAGATTAGGACATGTTAATTATGATACTTTGTGTAGATTAATGCATTTAGAATTGCTTCCTAAATGTCATTTTGATCCTAATCACAAGTGTGAAATTTGTGTTGAAGCAAAAATGGCTAGAAACCCTTTTCACTCTATTACTAGATAAACTGAACCGCTAGATCTCATACACATAGATCTTTGTGATCTCAAGTATGAAGAAACTAGAGGGGGGGAAAAGGTATTTCATTGCCTTCATCGATGATAGCACAAGATATTGCTATCTGTATTTGCTACATAGCAAAGATGAAGCTGTTAATGCTTTTAAACATTATAAAGCTGAAGTTGAAAATCAACTTGGGAGAAATATTAAAGTGTTAAGGAGTGATAGAGGCGGTGAATATGAATATCCCTTTGAATCCATCTGCTCGGAAAGTGGAATAATTCATCAAATTACTACTCCTTATACACCTCAATCTAATGGAATCGCTGAGAGGAAAAATAGAACGTTAAAGGACATGGTTAATGCCATGTTAGTTAGCTTTCGTGCTCCGAACGACTTGTGGGGGGTGTTGTGCTAGCTGCCAACTACATTCTAAATAGAATGCCCCACAAGAAATCACACAAGATTCCATATGAGTTATGGAAAGGGAAAAGCTAAGTTTCAATTACTTGAGGGTATGGGGATGTCTTGCGAAAGTAGCTATTCCTAAACCTAAAAGAACTAAGCTTGGATCAAAGACCATTGATTATTTCTTTGTTGGACATGCACAAAATAGAAGTGCATATCGTTTTCTTGTCCACAAGTCATATAATGATGAGGTAGTTGCCGATAATTTTATAGAATCTAGAGACACAACATTCTTCGAGAATGTATTCCCTTTCAAGGGAGATTGTGAAGTTGTCTCCTTCGACATGGATGTTTTCATTCCAACCCATGTTGAAGAAACCAATTCACATAAGAGATCTTTTGATTCTATAAATGATAACAATGAAGTGGCGGAAGAATGTGAAATGGGACGCACCAAAGGGGCTAGAAAATCTAAGAATTTTGGACCCGATTTTGTTGTGTACCTATTAGATAATGAGCCTCAAACTTATAAGGAAACCATGTCTTCACCGGACGCTGCACAATGGCAAGAGGCTATCAAAAGTGAAATTGATTCCATCATGTCGAACCACGTTTGGAAAGTGGTAGATTTGCTTCCTGAGTCTAAACCTCTAGGATGCAAATGGATCTTCAAAAAGAAAAGAAGAACTGATGGAACAATTGAGAAGTACAAAGCTCGATTGGTTGCCAAAGGATACAACCAAAAGGGGAGTTTGATTACTTTGATGTTTATTCACTACTCACAAGAATACCTTCAATTCGAATGCTATTGGCAATAGCTGCATTGAAGGGTTTGGAAATCCATCAAATGGATGTAAAAATTGCATTCTTGAACAGTGATTTAGAGGAAGAGATTTACATGCAACAACCTGAAGGTTTTATTGTCCCCGGACAAGAAATAAAGGTTTGTCGCTTAGTAAAATCTCTTTATGGGTTAAAGCAAGCCCCCAAGCAATGTCATGATAAATTTGATAGTGTAATGCTATCAAATGGATTTAAAATCAACGAGGCCGACAAATGTGTGTATGTGAAAGGCAATCAAAAGGACTACGTCATAGTTTGTCTATACGTAGATGATATGCTCATATTTGGCAGTGACACGAATTTGATAAAAGCTACGAAAAGTATGTTGGCCAAGAAATTTGAAATGAAGGATCTCGGTGTTGGGGATGTAATTCTAGGAATTACAACCACCATAAGACCTGAAGGGTTGATATTGTCTCAATCACACTACATTGAGAAAATGCTTGAGAGATTCAAGAAGTATGATATCAAACCCATGAGAACTCCTTTTGATTCCAGTGTTCACCTCAGTAAAAACAGAGGAGAAAGTGTATCAGCAGATGACTATCCTCAGGTCATATGATGTTTAACATATGTCATGAATGGAACGCGACCCGATATAACTCAAGCTGTGAATAAGTTAAGCCGATTTTCAATAAATCCCGGTAGAGAACACTGGAAAGCGCTTCTAAGGGTGCTTGGATATTTGATGTATACCAGAGAGCAGTCCAGAAGGTACTAACAAAAGGAGTTAGAAGTTAAAAGCAGTCCAGAAGGTACTAACAAAAGGAGTTAGAAGTTAAAAGCAGTCCAGAAGGTACATATTCACAACTTGAGTCTTATCATCAAGGAGTAGATTTGTTAAGACTTTGATCGATTTATATACTTGATGTACAACTCATTTGAGGTTAAGCAATGAATACTAATCATCTTCTTCCCCATTTACTCTTATCCTATATTCTCTCAAGCAAGGTCTGCAGATAGACATTTCTCGTTGTCTACTTCTACGCTATAAACTAGGGAGCCCAACTTGTATCAAACAAAGATGAAGAAAGCTAGTGAACTGCCTGAGAACGGAGAAGACAAAGCGGCAATGACTGAAACACCTAATTCCATTTAAATTGTTCTACATAGCGGATATTGATCGCCACAGCCACATGGGTCACCACACGTGCAAATTAACCGGAGAACCAATTGATTACGGCCTATTAGGATAAAATTGAGCGTTTTTAAAAGCTTAGGTGCTTGATTGGGTTTTTATTTTGTAATTTTTTTGCTATGATATGAGAGCTCATTCAATAGTGTTTAGTAATTTGAACATTTGGGCTTCACATAAAAAAATTCAGCAACTTCATTCATTTTAAGCTTTAGCAGACGGCTGTTACCTTAATACGTAGTACGAAGTATATCATACTGCCGTACTGGATACATGAAAAACTTTCTTCCGCTCTTGCAAATTTGTGAATCAAACCCATTTCATATATATTACCATGTCCACACATTTGATTGATGGCGTGCAAACCATTTCAGTGTACTTACATGATCATGTGGCGATGCATTTGCCTAATATATAGGCTACACTTTCCTTGCTTCAAACATACATGTATGTATGGAGTTGAAAAAAAATCATTTTCAGGATGAGGCGGGTGCTTCGAAACGAATGTAATCATACATGACCCCACTCCAAGGACTGGAGCCTCTAACCTGCCTAAAGAAGAGGGAATTGCGACGATGGGGAGCAGGAAGGAGAGATGAGGGGGGCACGTCAACCTTGAAAAGCCAGTACAACCCATAAAGCCAGTACAACCCATGAATCCCATGCCTTGCAATTGCGTTGTCCTTTCCTATTAACCCCGTTGTGAAGTGTGGCACAACCATCTCTTCATCATTCACTCCCACCTACATCATCCCACTTGTACGTATTTACATTTGAAAAACGCTTGAACAACCTTCCTCTTTACTTTTCATTCATCACAATGCAATGGGTACATATATACATACATACATACATGTACTTAGTTAGTGAGTACCTGTAATTCAGCTTCATGTGCTGATGCCAATGCAATCCAAAGAGTGTAGTTTCCCAACTCATCATCATCAAAGCTCTCCTCACGCTCAAACTCAATTCTCCATGTACTCGGTATATACCGTTTATTTCCTTCTTCCCTACATCCATCCATATATCATCATACATTACTGTTTTGTTAATTAAACAAATAAACTGTTAGCTTCTCTACCGTTGGATCCCCACATCTTTCATGTCCTTTAATTAATTAATTAACTCAAAGTGCACATAGATACATACATACATACATACCCATCTACTACGAATCTATTAACATGTGCAAAAAACCAATCAATCTCAAAACTGCTTCTTCCCACTACAAAGACCAGATCTTCATCCGGGTATAGCTCTGTGTATTTGTCCCACAACCCATATTGCCTAAACCTGAAATTCTTTTTCTCTTACTATGTAATTGATGATTAAAATTATAGACTGAAGTTTATTTTAAGTAATAAGATTGAAATAGTTTTGCTTACTTTTCTGAGGTATCTTCCGTGTATAATTGATTCTCAAGCATTGGATAAGGATCGGGAATGAAAAACTCAGATGCCGTCCGATCAGGGATCCCAACTTCCCACAGGGTTGGACCTGTTCTGGGAGGATCGTATATGAGATTCTCAAGCCTGATTCTTGATCCTGCTGTGATAGTTATGTAGAAATCATATCTGTAACTACCCATAAATCCAGGCACCCAGGCATACAAGCTATAGTTGCCCGGTAAAACATTGTTAATCAAGAAATACCCTTCTGAATCAGCTTCAGTCCAGAACTGATAACCCTGAAAACAGAATTTTTTTTCTTTAACAAGTTTGTTTGAAACTTCTTTGGAGTCATTGAGGTAAAATAAATGCATCTACCTACTTGAGAGGTAGGTTGTGCACGAGATAAACAGCATTGCGAAAATTCATTTGACAATCCAACATGAAAAGTAGGTCGAGACCTTATGCATTGGTCTGTATATTTATATATACTAGTATATGTTTATTTGACACAGGATGACTTTACAGTCACGTGTTAACTGCTCCCCCAGCCACCCCTTCCAGGTCATATTTTAAACTTTCAATTGTTGTAAAAAATATTGCACAGGGAAAATAAGTTTTCCCCTAGACCTAATCTGTCCTAGGGTACATTGGCAGACACTTACTAGTGATCTAGGTAGTTAAATTGGTACTCTGTGGCTACTTGGTCTTCTACTAATAATTTTTTTTAAAGTATGCCATAAATTTCTGGTTTAATTAGTCTTGTAAGTCTATTATATAAAGAAGATCCGTCATCTCATAAATACTAATTTTTAACTTATATCCTACACTAATCCTCACACAAATTCCAAGATGAATTTACACTACAATTACATATTCTGAACCTCACCTTGTGAAATCTTAATCTTAATGCATCCCAAATTTAGAATTATGATGTTCGTTTTCCTTTTATCAAGATACAGCTTTAATTTAAAAAAAAAACAATCTTTAGTTTCAATATTTCAGGAAAAATACATCATATTTTAATACGACCGAGTTACTCGGTGTGTAAATGTGTCGCCAAGTACTCAGCGATTTACTCTAGATTTTGGAGTGGAATGGTTGGGGCAAGGTACTAGGCAAGAACTAGAGTATGGTTAACAGGCACCCAATGCTAAAAAATAAAACATCATGTACATGTATTCAGCATAAGTGTAAACAAATCTTGATATGACCCCAATTACTCCCTCACTGGCTACTGTGTCCCAATCTGCAGATGCCTAGCTTTTTCTTTTTTTATTGAGAATGATCATATCAGTGGTAAATGTTGACCTTGCTTTCATATTGCCATGATCCTAGATTGCCTGGACGAGCAAGCCCAACAGAAGCCGAACTACCAGCCATAAGCCTTTCATTGATGTAGCTGCGGCAAAAAAAGAAAAGAAAAAAAAAAGAAAAAAAAAACTTTGTATCTGCCCAATTCATATTGTTTCATTGTATTAAAAATTGAGATTGTATTCGAAAAGCTCAATTCAATACGAAGTAGCATACAGCCTAACATGTTTGCTGCATGCTTATCCGTTAAATGAGAAAATTCTTGAAGTCAACATGCTCACATTAAACAAACCTGGATCGAATTGCATGTTAGAGCTTAATAAGTCTCAAAACATATTCGGAGAGTGGGAACTTACCTGTCTCGAACGAGTAGCCTTCCACTTATCAGACCTCTTTTCTGAGATGGAAAGAATTCTTCGGAGAGTGGGAACTCATATGGCCAACTTTCAGTTTCTATGAACATCTGCTCCTTTGCATCTGCCCAAAGATCCAAAGCATATTCATCGGTTTCAACTGAGTTTAGGTACACAAAAACGGGCCCAAAAACTTTTTTCCATGGCTCTCCATTTCGGAATTTCATTCCCAACATTTCCCCAGCATAATGTGTGCTGAAAAACATCTGACGCAAAATCAATAAACACAATTTAAGCCCAACTTTGTGCTGTCGAACACAATGTTGAAAGAAAGTGTCAGGCCCCTCTTAAGCATTCCAACCGATCTAGTAGAGGATGATGGGTTAAATAAGACCTTAGGTTGAATCAATCTTTTAGTCTGCTTTGATCTGAGTCTAGACTCTAGACAAGTAACTCCAACCCAATCCATTAATACTTACCGAAAGAGTGATAGGGCCAGTATGTGAAGTAAGATCTTGTTTTAAAGGACCTCCGTTTCGAAACTCATTGCTAGGAGTGATCATCCAAAACCCCGTCGGCGGGTACGGACTTATCCATCCATGGACTCGGTTATCCTTGTCTTCACAAGAATATTGATATTTATCATCAACCTACATACATGCATTGATACATATATATATATATGTGACCAAAGAAGAATAAACCAACATGTAAAGAAACAATATATATTATTGAACATAACTTAATTCATACATACTCCTTTAAAAGCACAATCCACTCATATCCTAGATAGTATTAACTATTAAGTACATAAAAAAAGGTCACATAATATATGGTTCACCCTTACCTCTCCCCTCAAGAAAGAGTTTTTTGGGTTTATCAAAAGAACAGCTTCCGGGTAATCAAGTATTTTACCCTCTTGTCGGTCTTGGGCCGTTGGCATTATTCTCTGTTTCTCATCAGACACCGCCATATACTGGAACCTAGGCAAAATGTATTTAACGCCAGAGGCGATAATGAATTCACCCGCCTGACTAAATATAGCAGTACAAATTAACATGTATAAAATCCTTGCCTTGGTTACTATTTCTATAAAGTTTAACCTTTTTTAATGTGATAACACACAAGAGGAAGAGGTCGGCCAAGGCATATAAAGCCCGGCTAAAGCGGAATGCCATTTATCCCATACTGTTCTTTCCGTTTCCGTTCCTCATATAGACAACATATCAGCTGGAAATAAGAAGTTCCACTCAATGTTCATTTTCTTTCATCTTTCTTCTATTGACTCCTAACATTCTTCTTCTTAGACCCCTAATATTTTAGACTGTTAAGGCTATCCGCGTTTCTGCACTCTAAATTCACAAATAGGACTATATGTTTTAAATTCTTTAAATAGGACTAATCATGTCTGCTTGGACAAATATACTCTAGTAGCCTTTTGGAGCGCCCAGCCATACCACTACCGCCGGCCACCGCCGGCCACCGCCGCCAACCTCCGGTCACCGGCCATCTGCCACCTGCTGCAGACCTGCCACCTAGCGCAGCCTCCGGCCCTGGAATCCGCTGGAAATTTCCGGGATAGATTTACCGGCCAGTTTGTGTCGCCGCACCTTGCCGGAGCTTCACCGGTCGCCGCCGCCAGCAACGGACTGACCCGGTTGCTGGAGGGAACTGGGCGTCTTGCATATTGTAGGATACAGTTGGTTGGTTTGGCTTTAAAAAATTACTTCTTTTTCCAAACACTACAACTTTTATTTTTCTCGACTTCTGTGTCAAAAGTGCTTTTACTTTTTCTATTACATAAAAAGCACTTATTTTACCAAACATTACCCACTATTATTTTTCAAAATCACATTTTTATCAAACACTATCAACTTTATGTAATCACTTCTCTCATTTCATTAAAAAAGCACTTTTTTAAAAACAAAAGCCGTTACAAACAAACCCTTATTATTTGGGTTTTGGAACCGCGTTGGGACTAGGGGTGGGCAAAAATAAGGAAATATCGGTATACCGCACTTACCGTACCGAAAAATACCGGAAAATACCGAAATATTGGTATGCCGTCATTTTCGTTACGATATCATACTGTACCGATCTATTTCGGTACGGTAACGGTAAATGTTTTCAAATACCGCAGTATACCGATATAATACTGTACCGACTCCCTACTCAACAATTACTTTTAATTCTAATATATTGTAGAAATCCATTACACTTTTAAAGCCCAAAATTAATACTTAAGTTGGTTACAAATACAAAAATACAAAAATAAAGGTCCAATTTCTCAAACCCACTATAACCTTATAGGCTTCTACTACGCTAACCTTAATGACTAATGAGTAATGTACAAATGTCAAGAAACAAGTTCATCCTGTTCCAAGAGCTTGCAAGTCGTGATGGCTAAGCCGCTAAGTAACTGACGAGTGAAGAGAGATACACTTATGTGACAAGTGTATTTACATAGGGATTCCGCGAGTCGAGACACACAACTTTGTCCGAAAGTCTTATTCAATTTTTAAAAAATTATAAAAATGACTGAATACACAATATCATATTAGGAATAAATGATTTTATATCCATGTTGTTTGAATAGTTTTATTTATTTTTGTTAGAGATCACTATTGATTTAATTATATCTATATTGTTCAAGCTATTTTAGGAGATTTTGCAAAAAAAAGTTATTTTAGGAGAATGTGTTACTTTTTAATATGTGACATGTTGAACTGCTTAAATATAGTAATAATAGTTATTCTTCAATATTGAATTGACATCAATAGATTATTAATTGTATTTCGTAACATTTTAATAATAGATTTAATATGTCGCTAGTAATAACGATTTAGTATATTTCGTTAGTCTATGATAATTTTTTGTATTGGGAGACATGCACGGTAATTTACCGATACCGTACCATTACCGAACCGAAACTTCGATATACCGAAATGCGGTATACCGAAACTTCGGTAAGGTAAAGGTATGCAAATTTTGCATACCGAAAGTTTTGGTATGGCAAAGGTATGAGAAAAAATATAAGGTATATCGTACCGAACCACCCCTAGTTGGGACCGACTTCAAGTAATTTGTGAAGATACTTTTGGGAGTCGGGTTTCTTGGATTTCTGTAAGGTGTTAGAGACGGACAAGCCTTTCTTTTAGTTTTGGAAATAAGTTTCTTAATTTATTTTTGGAAACACATCCTAGTTACCTTGGGGTTAGGTTTTACTTTATAAATACAAGTTCTCTCCCTTCTAACCGTGTGTGGATCCGAAAATAGCAATAATATTCCTGGCTTGGTAGTGCCCCCAGACGTAGTCATTCGTGGCGAACTGGGTTATCAAATTTCGTGTGTTCTTTAATTGTTCTTCGTGTGCGTGAGTTAAATTCCTAACAATTGGTATCAGAGCCCTGGGTTCGAAGGGAGATCTCACGATGGCAGACAATTCGAAGATACCGGTGATGCAGTTTGACGGAACGGATTACAGATTCTGGAATTTGCAGATCGAAGATTACCTGTACGGTAGAGATCTGTATCAACCTCTGAATGATAGGTCGGAAGACATGAATGAGAGCGACTGTAAGTTGCTGGACAGAAAAGCGATGAGCGTGGTTCGATTATCGTTGTCCAGAAACATCGTCCTACATACCGTCAAAGCAAAAACGACGAAGGAGATGTTGCAGATTTTGTCAGATATGTACGAAAAACCATCCGCCGTGAACAAAGTTCATCTGATGAAACGTCTTTTTAATCTAAAGATGTCAGAAGGTACGAGGATGGTGGATTATCTCAACGAGTTCAATGTAATCACAACACAGTTGAGCACGGTTGAGATAAAATTCGACGACGAAATACATGCCCTAATTCTGCTGTCTTCTCTCCCGGAAAGCTGGAACAGAATGGTGACGGCAGTCAGCGCTTCTGCGGGGAAGGAGAAACTAAAGTTCGATGAAGTCAAGAATCTGGTGGTCAGCGAAGAAATTCGAAGGAAGGAATCAGGATTGGCTTCTGGATCGGCGTTGAGTACAAAGAACCGAGGCAGAACGAAGTCGAAGTCCAAGTCAAATCGGGATAGATCAAGATCCAAATCCAAGTCAAACAGCAAGGGCAAGAAGGACAGAAGTCAGATCAGATGCTGGAATTGTGAGGAGTACGAACACTTCAAGAGCCAGTGCAAGGAGCAGATCAAGGATCAGAAGGAGAAGATATCTGGCAATGCAGCGCCAGAATCATCGGGTGATGATCTCCTGATCCTGAGCGTAAGCAGTCCGTTGGAGTCATGGGTTCTGGATTCTGGAGCCTCGTTCCATTCATGTGATAATTTTGAAGTGATGGAACAATATACTCCTGGCAATTTTGGAGAGGTGTATCTTGCTGATGATGAGCCTCTTAAAATTGTCGGGAAGGGGACAGTCCACGTGAAGACTCCGAACGGATGCATACTGAAACTGAATGGTGTCCGACACATTCCTGGTTTTAGGAGGAATCTTCTTTCAATTGGGCAGCTGGATGAGGGAGGTTATGCAGTTACATTCGGCTGCAGAAATTGGAAGATCACCAAGGAAGCCTTGCTGGTTGCTAAGGGGAAGAAGGAGAGTACGTTGTACATGACAACGAACTCGAAGGATTGCATCGATGTTGCTGCCGCAACAACACACGATGTGAATTTGTGGCACAGTCGGCTCGGTCACATGAACGAAAAGAGGATGAAGGAGTTGTGCTCGAAGAGCAAATTGCCCGGCCTGAAGACTGTTGAGGTTGGCTTATGCGAGGACTGCATATTCGGGAAACAGAAACGTGTCATTTTCTCGAAGGGTAGACGAACTATTAAACCGGAGAAGCTGGAACTAGTTCACACCGACCTTTGGGGACCTGCATAAGTTACATCCTTAGGAGGATCCGCATACTACATGACCTTCATTGATGATGCCACAAGAAAGGTATGGGTTTATTTTCTCAAAAATAAATCCGATGCCTTTGATGCTTTCAAGAGGTGGAAAGCTTGTGTTGAGACAAAGACAGGTCTGAAGTTGAAGTGTCTTCGGTCAGATAATGGAGGTGAGTATGAACTGCATGAGTTCAAGAATTTTTGTGCTGAGAATGGGGTTCGTATGGAGAAGACAACAAAGGGGACTCCGCAGCATAATGGCTTAGCTGAACGCATGAACAGAACACTAAATGAGCGGGCAAGATGCATGAGGTTGAAGAGTGGCTTACCGAAAATATTTTGGGCGGATGCAGTGAACACCGCGGCTTTTCTCATCAACAGAAGTCCAACGATCTCGTTGGAGAATGGCATTCCTGAAGAAAGGTGGACGGGTAAAGAGGTAAATATGTCCTATCTCCGCATATTCGGTTGTGTTGCTTATGTTCATATCAATTCCGTTGATCGAAGCAAGTTAGACGCAAAATCTGTTAAGTGTATGTTCGTTGGATATGGTGGTGATGAGTATGGATACAGATTCTGGGATGATCATAATAGGAAGATTATTCGTAGCCGAGATGTAGTGCTCAACGAACAGATTATGTACAAGGACAGATTGAGTGCATCTAATTCTGAGCAAGATAGACTGAAGATCATAGAGTTGGATATCTCTAATTCGGGTGGGAGCAAGCAGGATCAGAATGAAGAGTTGAGCAGTGATGAGGATCCATCAACCCCGCCAAGGCAGCAGCCTGCAAGAAATCTGAGAGCACCAAATAGGTATTCGCCTTCTAATTTCTATTTGTTGCTTATTGATGGTGGTGAACCGGAGTCCTATACAGAGGCGGTTCGGGTTGATGACAAGGGTAAGTGGAAACTTGCAATGGATGGTGAGATTTCATCTCTCACATCCAATGATACTTGGAAGTTAGTTGAGCTAACAAAAGGAAAGAAGGCTTTGCACTGCAAAGTGGGTCTACCGCATCAAGAAGGAGGCAGATGGTAGCAAACGCTACAAAGCTAGGCTGGTTGTGAAGGGGTTTGAGCAGCATTATGGTATTGATTACACCGACATATTCTCTCCAGTTGTGAAACTTACTACTATTCAGTTAGTGTTGGGGTTAGTTGCTGCAGAGAATTAGTTGTTACATCAGATGGATGTGAAGACTGCATTCCTTCATGATGATCTGAATGATGAGATTTACATGGTGCAATCGGAGGGATATGTGGCGGAAGGCAGTGAGAATCTCGTATGTAAGCTAGTGAAGAGCTTATACGGGTTGATGCAAGCACCGAAGCAGTGGTACAAGAAATTTGATGGTTTCATGAGGGACATAAATTTCTTGAGATGCCACACTGACAATTGCTGCTACTACAAAAAGACCGAGAACTGTTATCTTATCTTGCTGTTATATGTTGATGATATGTTGATTGCAGGAGCTAGTTCAAAGGAGATTGAGAAGCTAAAGAAACAGTTGTCAGAACGTTTTTCCATGAAGGATCTTGGAGAGGCAAAGCAGATTTTGGGCATGCGAATCGAGAGCGACGAGGCAGTGGGTAAATTGTATCTTTCACAGGCAGAATACGTTCAGAAGGTCCTGAAAATATTCATAATGCAAGATGCAAAGACAGCAAGTGTACCACTGGGTAGTCACTTCAAGCTTAGCAAGGAAGATTCGCCGAAGAACAAGGAGGAGCGTGATCAAATGCATAATGTCCCATACGCATCGACAATAGGCAGCATAATGTATGCGATGGTGTGCACAAGGTCAGACATTGCACATACGGTGGGATTAGTGGGCAGATTCATGGGACACCCCGAGAAAGAACATTGGGAAGCTGTGAAGTGAATCATGAGGTATTTGAAAGGTACTACTTCTAATTCTTTGTGTTTTGATGGGAAGAATGTAGAGCTGTTGGGACACGTTGATGCAGACCTGGCATCGGATGACTCGGATGTATCGAGGAGAACCACCGGGTATGTTTTTACATTTGGTGGAACGGCAGTTTCCTGGCTTTCGCAGCTGCAGAAGATTGTTGCATTATCTACCACTGAAGCTGAATATGTGGCCATTACGGAGGCAAGTAAGGAGATGGTGTGGCTTCAGAATTTACTTGGGGAACTTGGGAAGGAGTCCAAGAATAACATTCTTTACAGTGACAGTCAAAGTGCTATCTTCTTGGCCAACAACTCAGCTTTTCACAAGAGAACCAAACACATTCAGTTGAAGTATCACTACATCCGTTATCTTCTGGAGATAAAGGCATTGCGGCTTGTGAAGATCCATGGGAGTGAGAATCCAGTAGACATGTTTACTAAGGTGGTAACCTTGGAGAAATTGAAGCTTTGCATAGCTTCAATTGTCCTTGGTACTTGAAGTTGAAGGCCGACGCTACCATGCTAACTAACAAGGGAGGATTTGAAGAAGACTGTCTCAAAGTGGGAGATTGTAAGGTGTTAGAGACTGTATAAACAAGCCTTTCTTAATTTATTTTTGGAAACACGTTTCTTAATTTATTTTTGGAAATGCATCCTAGTTGCCTTGGGGTTAGGTTTTACTTCTCTATATATACAAGCTCTCTCCCTTGTAATCATGTGTGGATCCGAAAATAGCAATAATATTCCTGGCTTGGTAGTGCCCTTAGACGTAGTCATTCGTGGCGAACTGGGTTATCAAATTTCGTGTGTTCTTTAATTGTTCTTCGTGTGCGTGAGTTTAATTCCTAACATTGTTTAGCGTTTTCGTTATCATATGCATTCTTTTTCATTTGGTTTTGTCTTTGTTTTAATAGCTCTCAGCTTTCATTGGAGTTCGTAATTCCTTCAATCTAAAAGCTCCTCATCTCTTTTTATACCATTTCTATAGGTTTTCTTTTTGTGGAAATACATATATTTGTATGTGTGTGCACATGTGGTTTGGTTCCGGTGAGAATGACTCTTCATGTGAGAAAAGTGAATCCCTTGAAGCGGTGCACATTTTGTTCCATGTTGGTGCATCTTTCTAATTAAGGTAATGCAGAGCTCAAGTTATTCAAGAAGTCAAAGAATAAAGTTTGTTTCCTTAAAATGTGTTCTATTCAAACTAGAAAGTTTGAATAAGTACGGAGTTAATATCTATTTATATGTATCAACTTGCTATGTAGGTATTAAAATACTTACAACTCTTGATCAAGTTTGAATACTATACGGCCTTGGTAGACATCTATATCTGGCCAACCATCTAAACGTTCAAGAATAGCATAAGAGTAAAAGCCGCTGCTTCCACGCAAAACTACATACCTGCATTCAAGTTCACCATTCAAGAAACTTGCTAATATTTTTCCAAAGATAAAGACACACATATAGAGAGAGGGATAAATTAATGAATTTGGTGTTCTTTTAATCTATCAAACGAGTTATTGTGAGAGAAAGTATTATTGCACTACGAAATTACTGATAAAAAAGTAGAAATTGGGATCCTTACATCTCTGTTTTGAGGATGTACTTTTTGGAGAAAATAATCTTACATATTATCAATGAAATCATGGTTCAAAACATCAACTGTGACATTAAGAGGAATAGCAAGCCAACAAACGCATTCAGACATAGAGGTGGCTGCCCGAGCTAGCTCATGAGCTACAGGTTGGCAGACCGCTTAAAATGCTACAAAGAACTGCTAGAAAAACTAGCAGCCACTTCTTTAATGTCATCAATTAGCAACCCGAACTGAGACAGCCCATCAGTGTTGTGAATGGAAGAAATACTTTGAAGTGCAACACATTCCACCTCAATACAATCCCAACATCATTCTTTAACCTAACTAAGAGTCTCTTGAACACCTAAAGGACCAATAGCGAGTATAACCGAAAGTTATCGGTCTAAATCATCAAAGGAATGATTAGGGTTGGATTTGGTTCGGTTCCCAAATCGAAAATAAAAAAATCCAAACCGGTGTGGGATGTCGCAAGAGTGGGGACTATGGGGAGTCGAACTCGGGTGGGAAGCAGATGAGACAAGGTGTGCTACCACTGAGCTGCTTTAGAGTGTCGCTATATTATCGACGTAACATATACTTATTACATTAACGGCTACAAATAAAATAAAATAATAAAATAATTGTCATTTAAGGAAAAGTCGGTTCAATTCGGTTTGAACCAATTTTGAATCTTAAAGAACCGTGTTCGAACCGATTTGTACACGGGTCCCGACTTGCGGGTCCCATTCAAGTCGGTTTGGTTTCGGTTCGGTGTTTTATTGCCCAGTTCATTTTTTTCGGTTCGGTTTTCATTTTTTCGGTCAAAAAATGCTATCCTCTAGGAATAATGAGAAAATAATATTATACGGAGTAGTATTTTAAATAGACAAACATAAGGCGAGCTCGGAAGTTGAACAAAAAAGAGATCAAAATTATTGAATGGACTCAAACATCCTTCAATAAAAGACAAACAACCTCTCCCTCTCAATTTCTCGAGTTTCTGCTGCTCTCAGTCGCCGCACCAAAGTTCCACCGCCACAACACCTCCAATGCAGCAATTGCCTTCGCCATCGCCTAGAACTCATGCGTACTATATTCTTCTTCTCTTTTTTTTTATCTTGTCCACAAAACGTCGATGGCGTCCTATCTACATCACACGCATAACATGTCGAGTCCAAATCATCGCCGTCATCGTCATCTCGGACAAAGTCACCACCATTGCCACCTCGAGCATTGTCGCCACCACCGTCGATGTTTCCATGTATATTAATGGTTCTCTTTTCCATCCTATACTTCTTCTCCTTTTTCTGTGTGTGGATTAATTGACTCCAGCAACAGTTGTACAACGAACTGAACGTAACTAAGGTGCAGCGCAATTGTGGGGCGCAGGTGCACATGTTTGTAGAATTCCAGGCTTCCAGTTCCCAGCAAGCCCACTCCATCCTCCATACCATGGGATGGTCCTCCATCTCCTGCCAACTGAAGAGAAGCATGGAGAGGCATGGAGAGACATGGGCTGCATTATGGAAATCAATGCAATTGTCTCCCAGCCTTGCCTATAAATAGGAACCTCTTCCATTGTTCAAAAGCATCAAAATCCAGAGTGAAATATATAGAGCAATACACATAGAGTGTGAGTGTATGAGAGGATTGGTTTTTTTTGTAATAGTTAAGTGAGAGAGTTGCTCCTCTTATTGTAATTCTGTTCTTGTTATGAATAGAAGAATTTTCCAATCCTAACAAGTGGTATCAAAGACAGGTTATTCCTCAAACCCATGTTTCTACATTCAGCTCGATTTTTTGGTCAAATTTTTTTTGTTCCAGAATCTTGTTTTGAGGTCACCATTAGGAAGCTCTTGTTTTAAAGATTCCAAAAACATATTTTTCGGAATTTTTCCACCACCGGAAGGCCTCCAAACGTTCGGTCAACGTTTCTCTCTCCTGTTTATACTTGCCGCTGCTACGTCGCTGGAAAGTTACAGATCTGCCGGAGAAGGCAACCAGTCATCAGCCACGTCATCGACACGTCAGCTCCACATCAACGTCCAGTCACCGCCACGTCTGCTGCAACGTCACCCACATCCGACCTGTTGGGCCACCGGACAATGCCACGTCATCCGCCATGTCAGGCAACACGTCACTTCCAGGTGGGTGCCACGTCATCAGCCTGGTTGGCTGCCCACTGGTTTTGGCCAGAACCGGTCCGGTTCGATTCGCGGTTCAACAGTTTGGTTCACTCTTTTCCAGACCGGTTCTTGAAGAGGTGAGACTGGTTCCCACCATTTTTGGCCATTCCGGATTCAACGGTGTGCTCCGTTTGGCCTAATTCTGCTTCAAAATTGAGGTACGGGAATAGGTGTACATTTTTATCATGGAAATATCATCTTCGGATACGATGATTGCGCTAACTCCCACAAATTACAACATGTGGAAACCTCAGATGGAGGATTTGCTAAATTTGAAAGATTTAGCAGATCCCCTGGATAATAATGGCGTCAAACCAGATAAAAAGACGGATGAAGAATGGGCTAAGATGAACAGAAAAACTGTCGCACAAATCCGACAGTGGATTGATCATAGTGTTTTCCATCATATTTCTCAAGAGCAAAGTGCTCACACACTGTGGGAGAAACTTAGTAGCATGTACCAAGCAAAAACTGCTCAGAATAAAACGTTGCGTATGAGACGATTAGTGAACCACAAGTTACATGGTGGCATTTCTGTGTCGGAACACACGAGTCAGTTCCAGGATCTTGTGAATCAATTGAGCACCACCGGATGGGTCTTCAAAGATGAAGAACAAGCAATACTTCTGCTTAGCTCTCTACCTGATAACTGGAGACTCTTGTTGTGACTCTCAGTAATTCTGCCCCGAATGGTACCGTGACTATGCAGATGGTCAGAGACGCCTTGATGAATGAGGAAACACGAAAGAAGGAAGCTGGGACTGATCAGTCTTATGCTCTCATTTCAGAAACCATCAGGCGAGGGGGAGGTAGAAATGGAGGTAGAGGACGAGGTCGAGGCAGAGCTCAAGGTCAAAGTAGAGGGAGATCTTAAGTTCGAGGAAGATCACAAGAGCGGGGGAAGTCTGTCAATACCAATACTTGGTTCGAGTGCTATTGCAACCATTGTGGTCATTACGTGCACAAAAAGAAGGAATGCCGAAAGTTTCTTCGAGAGCGGCCCCAGACGAGTCAAAGTTCAAGCAAGGAAGATGGTGAGACCATGGTCACCATGTCACCAGACATTGCACTTGTTACTTGTGGAGAAGAAGCATGCCTACACGTATGTGCGCATGATATCGAGTGGGTGATTGATACCGCTGCAACATTTCACGCCACTCCGCACCAAAATTCATTTGCAACTTATAATACCGGAGACCATGGTGCTCTGAAGATGGAAATACAAGTTTCTCAAACATTGTTGGAATTGGAGATGTGCACATTCAAACAAGTGTTGGCTGCACACTTGTGTTGACAGATGTTCGACATGTTCCAGATCTGAGATTGAATCTTATCTCAGGAGTTGCTCTAGACCGGCAGGGGTATGTAAGCAAGTTCAAAGAAGGTACGTGGAAATTATCTAAAGGCTCTATGATTATTGCAAGAGGTCATATCTGTGGTACTCTTTACAAAACCTATGTAAAGTTGTGTCCTCCAAGTCTCAATGTTGTTTAAGGAGAGACATCACCAAATCTGTGGCACCGGAGGTTAGGCCACATGAGCGTGAAAGGACTAACAACTCTTGCAAAGAAGGAAGCAATCTTTATTGATAAGTGTCGCTCTGGATCCCTGCAAGCACTGTCTATTTGGGAAACAACATCGAGTTTCTTTCAGTTCCACTAGAAAGAATCATTCTGAAATACTCGATCTTTTCCACTCTGATGTATGTGGACTCATTGAAGAGGAGACACTTGGAGGAAGCAGATATTTTGTGACATTCATTGATGATGCGTCACGAAAGGTATGGGCTTACTGTCTCAAAACTAAGGATCATGTATTTGATCACTTTAAAATATTTCATACTATGGTAGAAAGAGAGACAGGAAAGAAGCTGAAGTGCCTTCGTTCTGACAATGGAGGCGAGTACACTTCCCGAGAGTTCTCAGTATATTGTGTTGAACACAACGGTGTAGCCGAAAGAATGAATCGCACAATTATGGAGAAAGTTCTGTGCATGCTCAGTATGGCTAAACTACCAAAGCCATTCTGGGGCGAAGCTGTGTTGACAGCTTGCTATCTTATAAACAGGTCACCCTTAGTTCCCTTAAACTTTGAAGTTCGTGAGAAGAAATGGTCAGGAAAAGACATTTCTTACTCTCACTTGAAAGTATTTGGGTGCAAGGCATTTGCACATGTTTCCAAGGAGTTGAGGCAAAAACTTGATCTTAAGTCGAACCCATGCATCTTCATCGGCTATGGAGATCAAGAATTTGGATACCGGTTGTGGGATCCCGAAATGAAGAAAGTTATTCGAAGCAGAGATGTGTTTCATGAATCCCAATTTCATGATCTTTCTCCAACGCACAACAAACAACATATCTCTCATGCTCCTAAAGACATTCTTGTAGTATCACACGAGGAAGTGAGTGATAATACTGAACAAATGAATGATGTCCCAATAAATGTTGATAATGTTCAAGATGGACGAATTCTTGAGCAGGGGGAGCATTCATCTGAAGGCCTTGGTGACAACACTCAACTTCAACGTTCTACGCAAGGCACTGTTCCACAAATTAAAGAAGATACTCGACATCTGAATGGACCCTTCTTACCAGCGAGGGGGAGCCAAAGAGCTTTTGAGAAGCTCAATCTCATCAAGACAAATCCTTGCAGAAGAACCAAACTTAGGACTTGGTGCCACTTCCCAAAGCAAAGAAAGCCTTGAAAAAAATGGGTTTTTAAGGTGAAGAAAGATGTCAAAGGTAATATTGTGAAGCACAAGGCAAGACTCGTGGTCAAAGGATTCCAACAAAAACAGGGAATTGACTTTGATGAGATCTTTTCACCGGTTGTGAAGATTATGTTGATCCGAGTGGTACTCGGGTTGGTTGCCAGTCTAAATCTTGAACAGATGGATGTGACAACAACATTTCTCCATGGTGATCTGAAAGAGGAAATATACATGGAGCAACCCGAAGGTTTCCAAGTTCCAAAGAAAGAAAATCTTGTTTGCAGATTAAAGAAGAGCCTTTACGGTCTCAAACAAGCCCCAAGGCAATGGTACAAGAAGTTCGACTCATTCATGGTGAAGCACCAATATAGGAGAACAGTTGCAGACCACTGCGTGTACCTGAAGAAGTTCCCAGATGGAAAGTTTATCATCCTTTTGCTCTATGTGGACGATATGCTGATATTACGCCAAGATGTGTCTCTCATCAACAACTTGAAGCAAGATTTGTCTAAGTTTTTCGATATGAAAGACTTGGGTCCGACGCAGCAAATTTTGGGTATGAAAATTGTTCGTAATCGGATGGCAAGGAAGTTGTTCTTATCACAAGAGGAGTATGTTGAACGCGTGATCAAAAGGTTCAACATGGATAGTGCCAAGCCTGTAGGCACTCCGCTAGCCAATCACTTCAAGTTGAGTAAGGAAAGTTGTCCTTCTGAGAAAGAAAAGGAGAGGATGAAAGCGGTGCCCTACTCTTCAACCGTTGGAAGTTTGATGTATGCAATGGTGTTTACAAGACCTAATATTGCTCACGATGTTGGTGTTGTAAGCAGGTACTTGTCAAATCCAGGAAAAGGCTTTGGGAAGGTGTCAAATGGATACTCAGGTATCTGAAGGGTACATAAAAGCTATGTTTGTGCTACGGGTGAGCGAAACCAATCTTGGAAGGTTATACAGTGCTGATATGGTTGGAGATCTTCATGGGCGGATCTATGTTGGGGCAGGGGTGGGCTCCAGCCCAGCCCAGCCCAATTTATTTTTATTATTATAGGTATAGGTTTAATTTCCAGCCCACCTCAAAATTAATGTATAGCCCGGTCCAAGCCTACCAACTTTGTAATTCTATTTGATTATTATTTGATTTTTTTTAGTAGATAGTAAAATAGTTTTTATTTATTATAAATTTATAATGATTAAAGATAGAATTAAAGATTAGAAAATGACTTATTTATTATGCAATTAAAGAATAGAGAACGATGTATTTACTGTTTAGGCATGTAAGAATGGATTCAAAATCTCAATTCAATTTTAAAATTGGGAATACTTATTAGATTTATGTACACACTATCAGTCCTCGATAGTGTATACAGTAACGAAAATTTTTACTGGATCACGATCGAACTCGAGTAGTTCGAAAAAAACTCAGTTCAATAACTATCAGTCCTAAGCTAAACGTTTTGTATACAGTAACGAAAATTTTTATTGCTTAGCCCACCCCACCCCTCATTCCTGGATCCGCCCCTGGAGATCTTGATAGTAGAAAATCTACTTCAAGTTACATATTCACACTAGCAGGGGGAGCCGTCTCATGGCAATCCAAGTTGCAGAGGTGTGTAGCATTGTCTACGACAGAAGCTAAATACATCGCCGCTGTTCAAGCTGTGAAGGAGCTCAAGTGGATGAAACGTTTTCTCCAAGAGTTGGGCGTTTTCCTCAAGAGGAGTACATCATTCATTATGATAGTCAGAGTGCTATGGATCTTAGCAAGAACTCGATGTATCATTCACGCACAAAACATATCGATGTTCGATATCACTGGCTTAGAGAAGCAATTGAGGAAGATGAGCTAAAGCTCTCCAAGATACACACAAACAGAAATGCGGCAGACATGCTAACTAAAGTGGTGCCACACGAGAAGCACAAGCTATGTACACGCATCATGGAATGAGAGAATTACAGAAGAAGCTGGAGGGGGGAGATTTGTAGAAATCCAGCTCCCAACAATCTCACTCCATCCTCCATACCATGGGATGGTCCTCCATCTCCTGCCCATTGAAGAGAGGCATGGAGAGGCATGGAGAGACATGGGCTGCATTATGGAAATCAATGCAATTGTCTCCCAGCCTTGCCTATAAATAGGAACCTCTTCCATTGTTCAAAAGCATCAAAATTCGGAGTGAAATATAGAGAGCAATACACATAGAGTGTGAGTGTATGAGAGGATTGGTTTTTTGTAATAGTTGAGTGAGAGAGTTGCTCCTCCTATTGTAATTCTGTTCTTGTTATGAATAGAAGAATTTTCCAATCCTAACAAGCGGTATTAGAGACAGGTTATTCCTCAAACCCAGGTTTCTACATTCAGCCCGATTTTTTGGTCAAAATTTTTTTGTTCCAGAATCTTGTTTTAAGGTCACCATTAGAAAGCTCTTGTTCTAAGGATTCCAAAAATATATTTTTCGACCACCGGAAGGCCTCCAAACGTTCGGTCAACGTTTCTCTCTCCTGTTTATACTTGCTGCTGCTACTATTGTAATTCTGTTCTTGTTATGAATAGAAGAATTTTCCAATCCTAACAATGTTAGTTTAGAAATGTTGGGTTGCATGAGAATTGATTGGGGGGGGGGGGGGGAGGGTTGGAGAACTTGCTGGGGGAGGTGCAGGGATTGGTATGGATGCATGGTGGGGGGCAAGAGTAGTTGTTGGGGCATTGCTAGACGAGGGGTGCTGGGTAAGGGGTAGAGTTGGTGTGAAAACAGTGGAGGAGTGGTTGGGGGAGGGGTTAGTGCCTATGAAGCACGGATACTACATTAGGGTGCCGTATCGGAAACGTTCTCGTATTCGATACTCTAGGATACTCGTACCGTACGTATCAAGAATTTCGGATACTTGTATCCTGACGTAAATTTTAAAAGTTTCCATTTTTGGTAATTATTATAGAATTTCGGATTCTTGTATCCTGACGAATACCTGTATCAATTTTTTCCAAAAAAAAAAAACTTCAGATTTAAAAAAAAAAACTCAAAATTTACATAATAAAATTCTTAAAAAAATGAAACACTAAAAATAATTTTTACCTTAGTTTTAGTGGTACACAACTAATGCGCCTATTCCTAATTCACTCATCCTCCTATCTCTAATTTTAATTATCCCTAAAAATCAGTAGCTCCAACGGAAATATGTATTAGAACTTCTAAGATATTATTTTCTATATTCATTATTCTAGAACTTTGAGTAGTTGTATTTTTAATTTTAAACTGTTGTTTTTTGACATATTTCTCATTTTAAATTAATGATTTATTGACTATATTTATATTTCTTTGAGGTACACTAGTGTATATGAGATAAATGTGAACTTATTTTCAAGTATCTTGAAAATGTAAAATGCTTCAATGCCATGAATGATCGAGTAGAAGTCAGAGGATAATATATGTCTATTTTTTCAAAAAAACGTATTTTTAATCTTTATAAATACACCCATGTAACTTTTAATATTCATAAATACACCCCCATAACTTTTAATATTTATAAATATGGCCCCATATCCGTATCCTACTTTTTTTTTTGTCGTATCCTCATACCCGTTTCCGTGTACCCGTATCGGTGCTACATAGGTACTTAGTGCAATGGTTTTGGGTGGGGTTAGGGCAGAGGGTATGCCAGACAATAGAGAAGGGATTGGGTTGGGATGTGAGAAACATGGGTGGGGGCAGCATGCATGTAACTGATCGGGAATTGTAGTCTATGTGGGTACCATTGTCAATGGGTCAGTGACTAGAGTAGCGGGTCAATGGGGTCACCTGGTAGCCGGTGCTTGGACCAGTCGGCCACTCATCTCATTGGTCGTCGTGTAGTGACTATGTGACTACGCAGTTGAGGTGAAATCGTTGGTGCAGGGCCGATAAGGTCGGTGTAACGATGGGCCAATAAGTCACTTCAAGGATAATGTCATTGAATATTGATATAGGTAATTTAGTACTATATAACAAGGGTTTTCGAGTTTGATGATCTCTTTTATCACACTTTTTTGTGATACTATTTGATCAGATTTTTTTATAGTTATTTGATCACATTTTTAGAAACTAAAAGAAGTTTCTTTTTTGTCCATATACTCGTTTAATTTATTAGTAATACTCATGTAACAAATCAACAAAGCTCTAGACATATGTGCGCGCGCTCGTACAGGAAGAATAAAATAGGAGTAGTGTACCTTTTGTCAACATTCATGGAAAGAACTGAGTCATTGTACGTAGTATCCCATTTCCGTGTGAACGAAAGCTCTACTTGATCGTCATCATCCATTATTGTCATGTAATTAAACCCCTCAAGCCTGTAAATTATTTAAGCTAAAATAGAGTTAACACTAATCAAATACTCATTCTGCGGGAGGTAAAGATTCTCATCACTTATTTCTTTTGAATGTCTTATTTAACAGTTCTTATTTATATATATTTTAGGAAATAAGTAACACTATTAAATGATAAAGTAATCGTCGTATATTAAAAATAATGCACTCATAATATCATATCTTAGTTATCATCAACTACCTAATTATAGCTAGTATAAATCCTCCCAAACCAATTTTCAAAAATAATTGGTATATGCAAACATAATGCACTCAAATTACCCTTCTATAATTATTGTTTAAAAAAGGTGTCAAAATCTTAAGTCGGGACCGAGATTCTATTTATTATTACAAGCTAAGAAGTAGTGTATTATTTGGAAGCATGTATTTATTTAGATTAAATATTATATCTTAAACTTGTGGCATAGGCTAGGGGGACTTACTTGTCAAAAATATTGCCACGCGCATCTGCTTTATTCCATACAATGTCCCAGTATCTACAAATTGAGATAAGGATTTAAGTTACAATGCAACCATTATTGTATGTATCTATGTATACAACCATATATAAAATTACAAAATAATGGTATGTAAGTAGTTATTATATATGCACGTACCCTCGATTGTTTTCCAAATTTTGAGCTTCGAGCAAATTGTGAATTCCATTGTATTGAACTTGAGTAACCATTCCAGCGGGAGTCGAAAAAGTAATTCTTAGAAAGCCATTATCCACTACTACCTGATAAATAATATGGAGTATATGCATGCATGGTCGAAAAGATTTTATTATTAAATACTGGCTGGGGGGATAAATCATAGATTGATAGACGGGTTGCTAATATATTAAGCTGCATTGACTTAATTAGATGTACAAACATTATATTTCTACTCTCTCATTCAGATTGTTAGTTGGAATAATGACAGAAATAATACTACCAGCTTTAGTTTAGACAAAAACGCCCCTGATATAATTACAATCCTAAAAACCCTAATCCTTGCACTAGCCTTTCCTCTCTTCCTTCTCTTCCTTTTTAGATTTCAGATTGCCGTCGTCGATACGCTCCCTACGCCACCATCGCTTGTTGTCGTTCCACGCTTGCACACCGTGCAGCCTCCACGTCTGACCTCACGTCACCTATGCATCCGAGTTGCAGATCCTCTCATCTTCTCGTTTCTGCTCTTCAGAATTGGCGAAAGACGTTTGCAGCGAGGTAGCCGCTCGATCAGCTGTAGCATCTCGTTGATAACCTTCACCTCTTTGATCGAGAGATGATTCGAAGACTTAGTTTGTGGGGAGGAGAGTGAGGGCGGTGACCATGGGCTAGGGTTGTGGGGCTGTAATGGGGGGGCTAGGGCTGTTGGGGGGTGGGGGTGGGGTTTTTTAGGGTAGTGACTGGGTTGAGCTTGTTGGTGCACATGCGGCTTTGGTGGTCGATGCGTTAGCGACACGGGTGAGGTTCTTGGGTGACGGCGCACGACGGGTGTTCCAAGGGCTACATCGGTGAAGTTATTGTTTTGGGTGGATGAGCCGATTGTTGGAAGGGGGCTTGGGTGGATGGGTTGGCTAGGCTAGTAGTGGGGGGCAGGGCTGGTGGGTGGTAGGGCAGGGTTGTGAACATGGTGGAAGAGTTGGGCGAAGATAGTCACTTCTCGGGTGGGGGCGGTAATGGCCGCCATAGCCGTCTGTGGAGGCTGTCACTATAGTCACTCTCGGTGGTGGTCACTATGCCCAGTCGTGGCCAATGTCTGAAATTTGGTCACTGTGGTGTTGAGTGGTGGTACATGTCATCGGGTGGTGGTAACTATGATCAGGTGTTGACCATTGTGACCAGCGGCGTTGGTCACCATGACTGACGAATGTGTTGGTCACTACGGGACATTGGTCACTATAACTGACGAAGGTGTTGGTCACTATGGAGCATTGGTTACTATGACCAATGAAGGTGTTGGTCACTACGAGACATTAGCACTGTGACGCGGGGCAAGCTGGGCCAGGTGAAATAAAAGGTTATAATGGTCCTCCTAATCACTTTTAGTCTCATTTTTGGAATTTTGAACAAAACATCACTTTTTGTCCAAAGCTTATTTTTAGTAATATTTTTTTACATAACCCCTTGTTAGTTTTCTACAAAAAGAACCCATATGTTTGATTGTTTTTCGATCTATGCTATCGCGCCAGTTGTTTAGGCACAATATATAATCTTATTCCATGTACAAAACAAGAATATATACTACGTAATGAGAGAAAATTCCGAAACAACGGGAGTTTCAAATGCCCCATGCAAAACCAAGGCAATTCCCATTAGGGTACAAAAAAACGGGATTCAGAATTGCCTCTTCCGAATGAATTAGGGTTTAAATTTTAAAAAATGATCGAGACTTATTCGGAATGCCCATATCCGATTAGGGAAATACCAAAAATAAAAAAAATTGACCTATTTCGATTGCCCATTTCCAAATGTGCTTTAAACAAAAAAGTGTATGAATAATCTGTTTATAGTATGCTAATATCATTGAATAGCTTACATGTTCACATTCCATCCACATTCTCCACCTACGCATTCCATTCGTATCACTTATAAAAAACTGCTTCGTTCTTAATCCTTCACCACAACACACAATACTTCTTTCTCTCTTAATATTTCATATTTTATAATCTATACTATTTACAAATGGCTAGTGGGGGTAGTTCTATTGTTCTCGTCCATGGGAATGGCTCCATTATCCCAGATAATGAAATGGAGTTTTTCCATACCTCCTAAGGCAGTATTGTTCATTAGCGAAGGAGATGATTTTAACACTTTATATCAACAATTTTTAGAACATGTTAAATGAGGTTTTTTTAATACAATCAACTTACGTAAAAATGCCAAAATTTTAGAATTCGGCGTACATTGCTTCTAGACTGCGGTCCATTCACGATGGCCTGTCATGGAGTCATTTTTCTCGGAATGCTTCAAATGAGTACGAGAAATTGAAAATTTTCGTGAATGCTTTAACCAACAACTCTATAGTCCCACCACAAAATTCGACCTTCGTTGAAGTTCTTACAAATACTATCACTATGTTTCACAATAATATCGCGCAAAGTCCATCATCAACATATGATCGGAGGATCAACATAGAAACGTTTGAGGACTTCCGGTCTCTTGGTATGCTTTTTACTTTTTAAATACAATTTCAAATTTAGTGAATTGATACATTTGTTATTAATACTATTATTTAAATAAATTAGTATCGAAATAGAGAAATGAACAAAGTGAAAATAATGAGTATATACAAAATAAATGTGAAAATTTGTTGTGTAGATGAAAATAATAATAAAATTATGATATTATATGCAATGAAACTCGCATTTAGTCTAATTTACGGGTAAATTAGTTTAAACTAATTTTTAGGTTACTCTCATTAAGACTAATAAAGTAAAACTCCCATTAAGAGTAATTTACGGGTAAACTTCCATTAAGACTACAACAACAACAACATCCAAGCCTTAGTCCCAAAAGATATTGGGGTCAGCTAACATGAATCGATACATGATATCACCACCAAAAGGAAAAGAAAGAAAATAAAGATTAAAAAAATAAGCTAATATAAAAAGATAATATAAAACGAGATGAGTATACCTAAAAATGATAAAATAAAAAGGACAAAAATAAAAAGGACAAAAATAATGTTTATACATATAAGGATTAAAGAATAAAAAAAACAAGAAGATAAAAAAAACAAGAAGTTAAACTTCCATTAAGACTAATAAAGTAAAACAAATTTAGTGTCAACAAAGTGATATTATTCAGATTATTACTCATTTGGATAAGAACTTTTTATAATCTACTTTGTGATATAATAATCTACTCATGATTGTTAAATATGTGAAAGTTCTCTGTGTGCAAATAAATGTGAAAATTAGTAAGTTTTAAGGAGAGTAATAAAGCTCATTGATGAGGAGTAATTTAGATAGACATTACTTTAGTAGTAATTAAGATGAAAATCAGTAGTTTATATGAAAATAATATTATGGTATTATTTTCATTACTATACTCATTAAATAAATTTGTATAACATTAAATAATTCAAGAATACACAAAATAGTTAATTGAGAAAAGGGTCAAACGAGGTCTTCTACTATTATGAAATCGTCACATGAGATCATGTACTCAATAAAGTGTCTTATAAATATGTCTACTTATAAAAACAATCAGATGAGACCTAACGGCATGTTGCCAACCTCATAATTCCAGTTTTAGCGTATGCTTGACTATGTTCTTAAAATATATTATAAGGCTGACGAGAAATATTTGTCATGATTGGATTAAATACAAGGCAAAAATAATGACATGTAAGTTAAAATCGGGATTAGGAGCTGAGGTTGTTGACGGGTCCTTTTGACTCATCTGATTGCTTTTTATAAGTAGACATATTTATATGACACTTTATTGAGTACATGACCTTATGTGATGATCCGTAATAGTACAAAACCTTATTTAACCCTTTTCCCTAATTAATTTAATAATTTATGTGTAAATCTATTTTGTTATGTATAATTACCAATTTATGATATATATATAGATTATGTACATCTATTTTCTACAGTCGTAAACTTGTCTGAGGACTCGAATGATCCAAACTTTGAACAAGTTCGTCGTAGTGATGTTGAATCATCTTCTAGCGGTGATAGTGACGAGGCGGTAGATACCACATGGGTCACTCTGGAGATAGACGAACCATATGTGGAGGATGTTAATCGTGATCCAGACGCAGGGAGGACGGTGTGTTCCTAAGTGCGGTGATTGTAATACTCGAGAAAGTTTAAAAGGATTAAAATTACAACAATATTCTCATTCATGAGCATCTACAAATAAATCTTTCAAATTAGAATCAAATAATAATTTTTCTCATACCAAGAAGGTGCAACTTTTTTCATGGGTGCTTTCTCATCATATAAGAACTCTATAATAATTAAATTTGCTTGTGAGGAAGTACTCTTTGGATGGGTGAGTCCTCGAGATGTTTTCCGTGGGGCTCACGGGTTAAAACAAAGTGCATGATAAAGAGTTGTATTGACTTGTAAGTGCTACCAGGTATTTAAGAGCAACAACCTTAGAGCTAGTAACTTTAAGTAGACGTATTTATATGACACTTTTTGAACCATGTCAATTTCTTCTGTAAAACCTTTGGAGCTGAATTATGTGGAAGACACTAGTAACTCATTGTGTTTACGAGACATTGCAATGATCAATGATCTCTTTGAGACTACCATGACTAATGGGGTTAATTTACTCTCTCATTTTCTTATCAAAGAGTTTGAAAGAATTGTTACCTCTTGTATGGAAACTAGGGACTCTTTAAATAATAGATTAACTAATGAAGTTAATCCAGAGGTAAATTCTTTGAACGATGCTACTACAGATAGCAGTGCTCTATTGGTATCATGTTTTTTCCGAAAAGACATTGTCATATTTAGGGGATGACTTTCTAGGTTGTTGGAATAATTGGCCCGATTTAGGAATGACCCATTAACCATTTTCAATAAAGCTATTTAGACCCAACTTGGGAGGAGCCCAATAAGGAGGCCTGTCCGACGCTCGTCCTATCTTCGAAGCCGCTCGACGTTTGTGTCCTTGTCCAAATAGAGCCAGGTGAGGATCCAAGAGACTTGGAAGGGGTGTTTGGCATGGCCTGGCAGCGGGCCTGACCTTGAGCTTTCCTTGGCCCAAGTCAGGAGATCAGGAGGACGCTCGTCTACAACCCCTGGCGGGAAAGCAGGATATTGGCGAGAAACGCATTTAATGCAGTAGATTTGGTGGTTGGGAAACTAACCACTCAAGAACCTCCACATCATCACTACCACCTACCTCTTGGTAGTATAAATAGTACTCCCTCCGTCCCTTAAAACTTTGTCAGCTTTCCTTTTTTTGGATGTCCCACTAACTTTGACACATTTTCTTTTAAGTAAAAAATTTGTGGTTCCTGTTAATTCTCTCTCCTCTGCACAAACCTCTACCACACAGTTTTTACTTTATTAATCCCCGTGCCGGTCAAACTTGGCAAAGTTTTAAGGGACGGAGGTAGTAGCATTTATTTCATAGTTAGGTTGTTGGCAACTTGTATTCACTAGCTATAGGAGTTATCCCGTTATATTCTCAGCTCAGTTTAGACGTTTGGCCTCGTCCGACAGTAGTGTGAACTGTAATTGTTCCTTATTACCACTTAATAAGAACTCGGCCCACTTAGAAGATATACCATTTGCTATCCACTTATTGTTTGTGCCATTTATCATATTCGACCCACTAAACTCATTCTATACGAAACTCAAAGGAAGGTGTTGGGCCTTTGGAGTTGAAGGAATAAATCTCAACATAGGTCACACATCAAAGAGCGAGAAAGAGCTCCCATTTCAGCGATTGGGGATCCGTGGGACTCCAATACAAATCAATACATATGCAACAAGGCTTGCTGAGTCACGCAAGAGAATTGCTTACCCACACAGAACCTCAATACTCAAATAAAAATTTACAGGGAAAAGCATCAGTAATTTCATCATATGAGAACTCCTCTCAATCACAAGAGGAGTTAGGATAATATCTTGGAACTTAATGCTTTATAGGGAGGGACTCTTGATTCTTAGGGTAGGTTTGTCTTATTCATAGTTTAGTATTGTCCTTTTGGTTTGTTTTTTTTTCTTTTATGTTCCTTTTTCGTCTTTTGTTTTGTAATATGTTTCTCTCTTTCATCAATAAAATTTTCCCTTTCTTAAAAAAAAAAGAACCCTTAGACCTTATGGGATTCAAGTATTACAATAAGTGGCCAATTTGAGAACTTGAATAGGAACATCAAAGTAATTTGATATAATGTTATAGGGGGCACACAGGAAAGATTCATCTGATAAGCTAGATGATGCCCTTTGGAAAGTTTAAAACTATAACCTATAGTGACATCAATGCAATATGAAAGAAATTGGCACGAAATTGACACGAACCATAACATATTTTTGACATGGTTTTGTACCGAATAGCTCATGGCAAAACAATGTTGATATACATTTGTCACAAATTTGACGTATTCATGCCAAACTCATGCTAAATCCCTTATGAATTTTCTTGAATATAAGCCAAAGATCCGTGCCGCATCCGTTATTTTATTTGTTGTGAGAACAATTTCCCTATATAATACTACGTATATATAAAATTTGCCGCGAATTAAAATTTCAAAAAATAGTTTTTTTATACTTTTTACCAATAGTGAATGTTAATGATCAAAGTATTAACAAATACGTAGTCGTATAAAATTAAAATTGTTGTAACTATCTAGAACAAAGCCTCAAAGCTAATATTTTGATATCACGAATAGAAGCTATGAATGTTTATGACAACCTCATGAATGCTATACATATTTTAATTACTTTGTATTTATTTAACACCGCAACTTCACATTTATGGAAGAACAAAACATTGGCATAGTGTCAAGATAACTTTTTAATAAAATTAATACGAGTATGTATACTGCACATGTAAATTTAGAATATTTATATTATTATTTTTAAACCAATGTTATAAGTTGAAACAAAAATTGAATTGATCTGTACCGAACATCATTTTTCTTTTGAACTTCTGGTCTGATCTTGTCTGATGTGATCTGGTTTGATCTTTTTAAGTCTGGTCTGGTCTGATGAATGTTTGATCTTTGTGTATTTTATAATTTTTCAAGCCAGTTCTAGTCTGTCTAGTATAGTCTGCTTAAGTCTGTTCTGATCTGGTCTATTTATGTTTAATTTGTTGTGGTCTGATCTAAGAGTGAAAACCATCCAAAAGAAAACATCCTAAAAGCTTATGAAATGCAAGCAGTACGTACTTGCCCATCATCCTGCATATACAATTCAACGGGCGGATAGGATTGCCGCTCTTCTTGGCTATTCGCTTTAGGATTTTTCCTACAAACGATATGAAAAGCATGATACAATTTAATTTTGTATTAAAAGAAAGGAAAAATTCTGGAAATATGAGTAAAAACATTTGAAAATTTCATTTTAAGGGGTTCAATCTTAATTATATGTGGTACACTTAAAACATATACCATATAAAATTGAATGATAAATTGATTTTGGAAGTCCACTTTTTGGGCTAAGGAAATTGGAAAGTTCTGTAGATAGAACTAAACGTAGAATTGTCATCGATTAATGGATGTTTTAATTTTTCCTTCGAATTGCAAGTGTTTGGAACGTTGGTTAACGTTTTGAAACTGTAATGCGTGATTAATGCATGATTTAATTGCGTGATTAATGATCTGTAACGTTCCAACCCATTAAGATGTGTTTAATGGGCGGTTTCACTAGAAACCGCCCATTAAACACAACACACATACATACACTAGAAACTACTGCATTGATCCAACTAGAAACTAATGCATTGTTCTCTCCAACGAAAAACTTTGTCAAACTTCCGACAAAACTTCCTTCATTCTATCCTTTGTTCTAGTTTGCCGGAATAACCTATTGAGTGCCCAATATGATTGTTCGTCAGTTGTCATATTCTGGAAAACTGAGTTGCAACGCTCATTTGAGCGAATTTGTGCTAATTCTTTGTCTAGTTCTTCAAGCTATTTTTAATTTCTTATTTTTGGGGAATCAAACCAATTCCCACACTATTATGAAGGTAAACTTTAATGGAAATTTTTATGAAATAATGTATATTTTAATGTCTACACAAAATGGACAATTTTAAAAAAAATATTATTATTACATAACTCACGACCCTTCACTTGAATAGGGTTTGTATCAATCTTCAAAGTAAAATTAAGAGGCCGTTTGACAATATTATTATTAGGATTGTTTTTTTGCTTATCAGGCTTATCAGCTAATTTTTTTACCAAACACGTAATTTTTGCTTTCGCGCGCTGAATTGTGTAATAAGCAGAAAAAGTAAAGTTGAAATTATTTTTGTGACTGTATTGGCTGAAGTTACTATAGAGTACCATTTTAGCTATTTTAAATATAATTTTTTTTAAATTTTATTAATAAAATATATTTTAAAAATAATTTTATTTTTTATCATTCTTATCAGCCAATGTAGGCACTTCAACCAGAATTTCATAAATTTCAGGAAAATAAGACAAATCAGCTGATTTTGTGCTAATTCTTTGTCTAGTTCTTCAAGCTATTTTTAATTTCTTATTTTTTGGGAATCAAACCAATTCCCACACTATTATGAAGGTAAACTTTAATGGAAATTTTTATGAAATAATGTATATTTTAATGTCTACACAAAATGGACAATTTTAAAACAATATTATTATTACATAACTCACGACCCTTCACTTGAATAGGGTTTGTATCAATCTTCGAAGTAAAATTAAGAGGCCGTTTGACAATATTATTATTAGGATTGTTTTTTTGCTTATCAGGCTTATCAGCTAATTTTTTTACCAAACACGTAATTTTTGCTTTCGCGCGCTGAATTGTGTAATAAGCAGAAAAAGCAAAGTTGAAATTATTTTTGTGACTGTATTGGCTGAAGTTACTATAGAGTACCATTTTAACTATTTTAAATATAATTTTTTTAAATTTTATCAATAAAATATATTTTAAAATTTTTTTTATTTTTTATCATTCTTATCAGCCAATGTAGGCACTTCAGCCAGAACTTCATAAATTTCAGCAGAATCAACCAAATCAGCCGATTTTAGTGCTACCAAACGGGCTCTAAATCTTTATAAAAATGTTCTATTTTCTTTTAAGTAAGAAAATCAAACATATATATAGCTAGTACTTCCAGTTAATTTTTCGACACCCCAAATAAACAATAGCCCTGCATTTTTCGAGACCCCAAATAACTCTTTGTTCTAATTTTTTTTTTTTTTGTGCATACTCCGTATATTGGAGAATGGTAACAGTCAGTGGGCTGCAACTGTATCTCGGGAACATGCAATAATAAGAGGCGTGGAGTAAATAGAAATTAGAGATCTGATATATGGTTCACGGGACTCCCATTGTGTGGAGGAGGTGAAAATATCTCCATCGGTCAAATCAAAGAAACTAAAACAATGATCCGTGAAACCTCTGGGCCAAACAGACACTTTTACCCCGTGAAAGTATACTTCGTATATACATTGTCCGAACACACCCGTTTGGATAATTTTGGGTGATGAAATTTTTTGATGAATTTTTTTGATGAAATTTCTCATCAAGTCTAGTTTATCCAAAAAAATTCAACTCAAAATTTGATGGAGAAGTCAGTTAAATAATTTTTTGAAGTTAACTGCGCAAAATTATACATAGAAAACGTAGTTAACTTCAAAAAATTATTTAACTGTCTTCCCGATCAAATTTTGAGCTGAATTTTTGTGTGGATAAACTAGACTTGATGAGGCACTTGTTCAAAAAAATTTGTGTATGTTCGTCCCAAACGGTGGAGTTCGGACGGCGGTCCAGTCAGGAGGGGCTGGACCGGATCATTTCTGCACATCATAAGTTTTTTTTTTGATGATCACATCATAAGATTTATTGAAATGGCCGATTCATTAATTTTATTACATTTTTCAGAATGACAAAGTATTGATTATGAACAAGTTATTTTTAAACACTCCGTTATATTTAAGGATAAATTAAACATACATATATTTATATACCAAATGTATTATTGGGCGTGTTTGGTATTTAATGATTAGCGGATAGCGAGTTATGTTAGTGAGATGTCAATAGAGGATTCGGTCAACGGATTTGGCTAGCGAGATTAGTTGACGACTTGACGGCTGCCACAAGATATTTGGTAATTTAGCTATTTGGCATAAAAAATAGTTGAAAATGTCATATTTCAAAACGCTGACCCAAAACTCTCCTATTTGCAGTGTTTCTGTTTCAGCGATTCCGTCCAAAAACACTACGGGCGAACAACTATTTACCAAACAACGTTGTGAAAAGTGAAAACACTAAAAATGATCACACAAATATTTTTTATCGAAACACCATTTTCCAAAACACCCCTATTATGTGCATGATACTCCCTCTTCTTAAAGATTACATGTGGGCATTTATTTTTGAATGTTTCTAAATAAAATCTTACTACGTACTACGTACTACGTACTGTATTTCTTAATTTATTGGGTAAATAAATTCTACCAATTTACAATACGGAGTATTACAGATTGTACGGTGCCAAACAATTTTGAATGGATAAAATGTTGTTAAAATAGTGTATTCTATGGTAAATTTTACTTTAAGAGCCCGTTTGGTGACCTCTTTTTTCGGTTTATCAGGCTTATCAGCCAGTTTTTTCACAAACACGTAACTTTTAATAAGAAAATGTCTTATTAAAATGGAATTTATCGTTTCTAAATTGGGAATTTTTAATGTTTTATATTCTCTAATAAGACTCGATAATCCTATTTAATTTCATGAATACATACACTTAGTCATAGTTTTAACTTTGTTAACGACATCCTTTTAAAAAAACTGTGTTATATATGTTAACCAGATTTAATCTTTACTCGTATTTGAGCAATTTATTATTGTTAATTAATGCGTAGTATGTTAACTCCTCAAATAATGTTCATACTTTGACTATTGAAGGTGCATTTGTTAATTTGACATTTTATTTCCTCAAAATTTATATTCCTTAATATTTCCTAAAAATAAATCACTTTCCATATTATATTGTTCATGTGAACTTTTAATATAGTTTTTACTGCGGACAGAACTATATGATTTATGTAATAAATTTTACATCTAACTAAGTTTAGCATCGTAATTCTTTTCAAACTCGTGACCCAAAAAAATGACAAATATATTCTGGGATAAAGTAGTCCGTTGTATTTTATGAAAAAGATTTTACAAATTTTTGTTTTAGTACATATTTTTTAATTTTTTGAGTCCCTCTTTTAATATATTTTTTATAATATTATTAGTTTACAATATATTTGCGATTATATTGTACTAAGCAAAATAAGGAAAATAAACAAAATAAGGAAATGTTTGCGATTATCTCTACTCAAAAATGATCTTGTAAGTCATTTTAGAGAAAGTGCTTAATAGTAAAAGTTAGTAGTGTTTGAGAAAAAAAAAATTTGAAAACGTAAAGTTGATAGTGTTGGAGTATAAAAGTGTTTTTTTTGTGTTATAGAAAAACTGAAAACCAATTTAAAGCACTACTCCATCAGCTTCTAGTTTTTATCTCTTTAATGATGAATTGAGTAGAAATTGTTACTTGAAAAAACTCATTTCAACCTTTTAATGCAAAACTTGAAAAGCGCTTTTTAATATTTATTGCAGATGCAGTACTCTGTAAGGTTGAAATTACTTTTTTGATTGAACAGGCTAAAAGTATTTAGTATCTTTTTAGTTATTTTTGATGTATGTTTTTCTTTATTTTATTATCAAATATATTTAAACACGTACTCCGTATAGTTTTTCAATAATTTGAGCAAGTTTAGTGCGTGGTTTCAACCAGCATTCAATCAATTTGAGTTACTAGCTAGCTAAATGTATTTATAATTTAAAAGATAAAGGTGATGGATAGAAAGAAATACGGGTGAAAAGAAAACCTAACTGCCTTTTGGAAGGTGCACAGGGCGTGAGAAGAAATGCGACCCCCACACAGAGCAGCAGAGCAACAACGTTAACCTCCCTTCCCATTCCGCCTCGTCTCATCATCCTCGGAGTAGTGTATATATATTTGCGTCTGCGCTGCCAAACATGCAGGCAGTTTATAATATACATTTGGAAATTAATTCATCCAAACAATAATTGGAGCACATAAAATTAATTCATTCATATCTTACACTCCGATCCGTATAATATATATGATGAATCTTTCAGTCCTAGCTAGCTAGTCTTGATCTTAAGAAATTAATTTTTTTTTGGAACATTAAGAAATTAATTAATTAATCAATACTCGTATGTATAATTAATCGACGCACGGACTGATCGATCCGAATATATATACTACTATACATCCATACGTAATTAATTAATTGCTTACACTTAGCTTGAACGCGCATGTGGTGAGCTGAGGTTAATGAATTGAAGCATGAGGCCGGCGGGCGGGCAGAGAAAAGATCGATAGATACAACAGCTACTAGTCACAGAAACCGCATTCACACAAAATGTACGTACTTTTTTTTTTATTGTGCTGTATATATAGAGAGAGTTATGTGAGAATACGAATAATGAGGCTTGTTAATTACATTGATAGCCCTCCATACATAAATAGTTGTAACATTACAAATTTTATATTATTCATGTTCTCTACTTTAACTATATTTTATTTATGATGCATTAAAATGTTATTTTAAAAAAATATGTAATAAAATTCTTCTCACTTTTGAATTTTTAAAATGTGATTCTTTTTTTTTGAAATTTTTTCAATTGAGAAATCAAATATATTAATAGTCAAAATTGTGTGTTGACAAACATGAAATTGAAAGTGACGCAACTAACAAGAATAAAGGAAATATATACTACCTATAAGCAATGAATGAGTTTGAATTAATACATAAGTATTATGTAACATAACGAACAACCAAATCTCCATTAAAAACTCGCTCATGAACAAAATGAAAATCAATAATAATGTGTTTACTGCAATTAAGCATGTTGAATGAGATTAGCAGATAAATACGACGCAGACATATTATCACACAGAAATTGAGCATGCGTACAAATTATGATAGCTATGCTTAGCTTGAACAAAATCGAACTGATGTGGAGTGTATCTTGAAATCTTGAATGGTGTAAGCAATAGCCCTATACTCAACTTCTGTTGACAACTTGGAGACAGTAGATTTTCTTGGATTACCAGGATACCAATTTAATTTATTAGCACCAAGAAATATAATATGGCAAAACCAGATATAAAACGACTATTATATATATATATATATATATATATATATATATATAATATATGGGCACCCAGCTTAGTGATCAGCATCTGAGTAGGCAATAATAGCATGAGAGGAGATGACTATAGCAACAATCCATGCGTCAATGAGGCCACAGATACATGAAAGTACGATTCATAGCAAAAAAAAGTGTGTGACTTGGGAGTATGCATGAATTGGCAAACCACGTGAAAATCATATGTAATATAAGGCCTAGACATAATCAAATATTTTAAAGCACCCATCATACTTCTATACTTAACCGGATCTGCAAGAAGGTCACCATCAGAAATAGAGTTTGGTTCGATTAGGAAGAGGCATGAGTACGAGCTCAAGAGTGTGATGATAAAAAGAGTGTTTATTATCCGACACATATTTTTGTTGAGAGAAAAACAGACCCTGAGAAGTACGCACAACCTGAACACCAAGAATAAAAAATCAATATCTCCTAAATCCTTCATAGCAAAATATTATCCAAGTAATAAAATGATATCCATTTTATATTATATATATTATATATCTACAATCTTATAATAGTAAATCATGGTCAGGGCATTTAAGGGAAGAAAAAAATGTTGGTGTAATCACCTAGCTTAGTGGAATGATACTATGTGCTTAACCATTTGTATTTTGTACTCTGCTAAAAAAACAATTTTCCGTTTTATTTCCATCTATTCTCACTCAAAGCAGTCTTGTACTCTTGTCTATTCATCTCTGTCTTTCATCATCACCTTGAACACACCTTTGGTTTCTCCCTATCTTGCCACTTCCAACCCTACTATCACCCACATGCCCCGTACTTCACCCAACTACTCTTGTCCGGCCTAACCTCACCTAACCACTAAGCATCTAGGTATGTCTTTTTTCCACTTTCTTGGCTTCACAGTGAACTTTGTTAGGCTATGTTTGGTGAGCCAGATCAGCCCATAATGAGCTAGAATATTTCAAATTCAGTCATTCTTTTTTAGAGTAGCCTTGTTTGGACAAATGACTTAAGTGAGCTGAATCTGAAATATAGAGGTTGAAACAAAACTTAGGTAATCAAACGTTTCTATTGAGCTCATGCGTTAAACAAATGTAATTCCCAAATCATCCCTGCCGGCTTTAACGATGCTTTTGTTAAATAAAAGCCTTTAATTCAATAGTTGATTAATTGGCCGGGTTATTAACCGGGTTGTTCAGTTTGTTATCTTTGTATTGGTCTAATCATTCTGTTAAGCCTGAACTATAAGTACCCGCGTTTTTCATTTGAATAAACAGTCTGCTTTCTTTCTTCTCAATCGATCTCTTATTCTCCTCAGATTGGTATCAGATCCATCAGCGATCTCAGGACCTCGCTTGAAAGACAATGATGAACAGTACTGGATTTCCAACGACACTTCCGGTTCTCAATGGCAAGAATTGGAATCGGTGGAAGATTCAGCTGAAAGCTATTCTTGGCTTTCATGAACTGACGGAAATTGTTGAGAACGGCTATTATGATCTTCTGACGACACCAAACGAAGCTCAGCGATTGGCGTACAAGGAAAATAAACGAAAAGATTGCAAGGCCATGTATCTTCTGCATCAATGTGTTGATGAATCACATTTTGAGAAGATTTCTGCTGCAAACTCGTCTTTGGAAGTTTGGCAGATTCTTGAGAAGTGCTACAAAGGGGTTGATCAATTGCAGAAGGTACGATTGCAAACCTTGAGAAGAAAATATGAATTGTTGCAGATGACAGCTTCTGAAACAATAGCTCAGTATTTTACTAGAGTTATTGTTATTACAAATGAAATGAAGGAATGTGAAGAGAAAATCTCAGATCAATCTATTGTTGAAAAAATTTTAAGAACCCTAACCCCTAGCTATGATCATATTGTGGTTGCAATCGAGGAGTCCAAGATACTTGCAGATCTGAAGATTGAAAATCTTCAGGGATCTCTTGAAGCGCATGAGGTCAGGCTTCTTGAAAGGACTGCAGATAGATCATTTGAACAAGCACTGCAAGTCCAGACCACCAAGAGAGATGGTTTCACTAGCAGGGGTGGATCTCGTGGCAGAGGTAGAGGAAGGGGAAACAAGAACAAAACAAGATCTTCTTACTCTCAGGATATTAACAAAGATGAACCAGAAAGTTCCACACATAGGGGTGGTCACAAGAACTAGAGAGGAGGGAAGAAGAAGATTGACATGACCAAGATTACATGTTATAATTGTAATAAGATTGCTCACTTCTCAAGTGAATGCCAAGCACCACCAGGCCAGTTTCAGGGCTCTTCCAAGCAGTATGATGAAGCTCATTTAGCCAAGAATGACTCAGATGACAAAGAAGATGATGAGAAAGTACTATTGTTAATGACAACAAGCACCCAGAATGACTTGAAGATTGATAACATCTGGTATGTAGACTCTGGGTGTTCAAACCACATGACTGGCAATAGGAATTAGCTTGTCAATTTTGATTCTAGCAAGAGGAGTATGGTCAGATTTGCAGACAACGGGTCCATTGAATTAGGGGGTCAAGGTGATGTTCTAATCTCAAGGGACTGTGACAAAAGTGTGTTGATAACTGATGTCATTTATGTACCTGGGATGAAGACTAACTTACTCAGTCTGGGTCAATTGTTGGAGAAAGGCTTCACAATGAAAATGCAAGATGGATACTTGGAAATCTTTGATAGTGTCAAGAATAGAGTTATGAAAGTTCATCTTTCTCAGAATAGGACTTTTCAGGTAACTCTAAATACTGTTGAATCACAATGTTTTAATGCTGAGATACTGCTTGATGATACTTGGTTATGGCACTTCAGGCTGGGACATTTGAATTTCAAGGATCTCAGTCTCATGAAGTCACACGAGATGGTGCATGGACTGCCTCAGATCAGTTTACCAAAGAAAGTCTCTAATGGATGCTTAGTTAGCAAACAACCTAGGTCATCTTTTGGTAGCATGGTATTCTCTAGAGCTGTATGTGTGCTTCATGTAGTGTATTCTGATGTGTGTGGACCATTAGAAATACCAACTCTAGGAGGAAATAGGTATATTGTGACCTTTGTTGATGAATGGAGCAGAAAGATCTGGTTGTATTTGATCAAACTGAAGAGTGAAATGTTTGATGTGTTTAAAACTTTCAAGTGTTTGGTTGAAAAACAATCAGAAAAATCAATTAAGATCCTCATGACTGATGGCGGAGGAGAATTCTGCTCTAAAGAATTTGAAAATTTCTGCAAAACCAATGGGATTGTGCATGAGGTGACTGCCCCTTATACACCTCAGCACACAATGGGATTACAGAAAGGAGAAATAGGACAATCTTGAACATGGTAAGATGCATGCTGAAGCAAAAGAATCTACCCCGTGGTTTGTGGGGTGAGGCTGCAATGACTGCAGCTTATATCCTGAATCATTGTCCTACAAAGGCTTTGGAGTTTAAAGTGCCTGAACAAGTTTGGTCTAGTAGGAAACCTTCTATCAGACATTTCAAAGTGTTTGGATCACTATGTTATAAGCATATACCTGAAAAAAGAAGAAGGAAGTTGGATGATAGGAGTGAACCTATGCTTTTCATAGGTTATCATCCCACTGGTGCTTATAAATTGTATAACCCCAAAAAATGAAGTATTGTTCAGCAGAGATGTGTATTTTCTAGAAGCTAACTCCTGGAATGAAGGAAGTATTACTACTGAACCTAAATCAGTGGTTTCATTTGATTTGGATATCAATGAACCGCATGATATCTCTGAGTTGACTGCTGACACTGAGAGTGAACATCCAAGGAGATCTTCTAGAACAAGAACTATTCCAACCAGGCTACATGACTATCGTTTGATAACTGATGATGCAATTGATAATGAAGGAGAATTGGTACAACATATAACATTGTTGGCTGATATGCAACCTGTCGATTTTGATGAAGCCTTGAATAGTCAGGTCTGGAAGGAAGCAATGGAGGAAGAATTGAGGTCTATAGAGAAAAACCAGACATGGGAATATAATTAGCTGTTTTACCAACAAAGTCCCAATTGCAGTAAAATGGGTATTCAAGACTAAACTTCATCCTAATGGGTCAATAGCTAAGCATAATGCTAGGTTGGTAATTAAAGATTTATGCAGAGAGAAGGTGTGTATTTCTCTGAGGGTTTTGCACCAGTTGCTAGGCTAGAAACTATTAGGATGATAGTTACTCTTGCTAATCAGAAGAGTTGGAAATTGTGGCAGTTAGATGTAAAGTCAGCCT